AGAAATAAAACAAGAAAGCGCAGAAAAATAAATAAAATATAAACTTCTGCGAAGCCGATCAGCCGTTGGGTATGCTGAGTTAATTACGATTTTGCGAAATGTTCACCCCTAAACAGACAGTGCGGTGGAAGCAGCATGTTCGTTTGACCAGTCAACTGTCGATTCTGCACAACGTGGTCACCGCCTCTCCGCATACTCACGCGGGGAGAGCGAGGTCAAGCGATAAGAGGCTTTAATTATAGTTGGCGAACAAGTAGCTTGCACCGCACTGTCAGCGTAGGCGTGAACGGAATATAGGACATGCAAAAACCTAAAATATATGTACCGTATTTTCCGGGCTATAGTCCGTACCCGGTGTATAGTCCGCAGGGGCAAATTGGGGTCCAAAGTAAAAGTTCTTGCTTAGATACCTAGATAGTCCGCGTGCCGTGCATAGTCGGCACCTGGTGCTTAGTCGACACGAAAATCTTCTTATAGACGGCACACCTTGACATATGTCTGCTTTCTTAGCACACAAAGAAGCCTACAATCAGGCACGTAGCCAAAATTTTGTTTCGGGGGGGGGGGGGGGGGGGGGGGGCGCCTATGACAAAGTGCTGTATGAGGGGGAGGGGGAGAGGAGGTCCCAGCAAAACGGAAGATTTCGGGGGGGGGGGGGGGGGGGGGCCGAGCCCCATGGGCCTCCCCCCTGGCTACGTCCCTGCCTATAATATACATAAATCATCATTAACATACTCTTTCACTCACAAAATCCGTCACATTTCCTCATAATGAACTATCTTGAAAAACAAAATTCGTGTATAGTCCGCACACGTAGAGAGTCCGCACAGCCTAAAATTTCAACTTTTAAACATGTATGGACCAACACGCGGCCCTGACGTCACGCAGCTGCGGTGGCGCTGTCGACGGCACTGCGCATGCGTAGATGCTTCACTCCTCCCGAATTCGGTTTGCGCGCACGCGCAGTGCCCACACCTGGTGTGGGCAAACGTGGGCTTGTTAGTAAACAGCGTGTCGGTCTATAGACCTTGGACTATAGCCCGGAAAATACGATATAAAAAATAAGCACACTGTTAAATATAAAGTCAGAGCCAGCAACGAGCTGCAGAGTGGATGTTTACAATAATTAACCCTCCAAACTGCTTGAGAAATTTCCCGTCAAATTACGAGGGCGGCCAATAATTTTGTGTAAGTCTTAGAGACTCGTGAATCGAGTGCACTGGAAACTTCCGTTTTCGAAGCCGCTAAAACGTCGTTCAATGACATTGCATCGTTACAGAGACGTTAGCCGCTCGCTTATGTTTTCTGGCTGCATGAATGTTGTTGCAAAAACAAACACAGAAACTAAGCTTCCATAAAAGCTCGTACTCACGAGTTCTCCCAAGAGATAAGGCGCAGGGCTCCGAGTAAAGGCGCCGCCGCTGCACCACGGATAAATAAACACGTGCATATTATAACGGAAACATAACGTGCTGAAAAAGAAACACTAAAAGCACGATGTGTCGGTGGACGCCCGTGTTCTCAGACCGCGGATTTCGAACACGCTCGAGCGCTTTCCGTCTTCAACCGAAAGCACTCAAACCGCGAACATGGAGAAATATTCGATTACAATACGTAAGCTAGACATTGCAAGGATAAAGTCACATTGCATACCTTGAAGTGGGCGATTTAGTCGTCGATGAGCTGATGAGGCCCTGATGCATCACAGAACACTACACTGACCACGATGTCAACAGCCACCGAGGCGAGTTCGACGAACGCCCGAAGAGCGATAGCATGGCGATAACTGCTGCAACCTTTGTTTGCGCCTGCGCGGCACGGGCGCACGACTCGGAGCAAAACCGCAAAACAACAGATGGGTGTTGCAACAACCGCAACAACGCACCAACACCGCCATTCTGCGAGAGAGGAGGGCCGCGAAAGAGCTGCGGGCAAGGGCTGCGGGGCTGCGCGCTGCGCGGCGGGGCATTCAACTCCTCGCCATCTGCGCATGCTTGCACTCCTGGGATTTCGGCTTTTCTGGAAGGCTCGGCTCTCGCGCCAAATAAATAATGAGGGCATCCTCGTATTTTGAAATGATGAGCGTGCCCGTCTTTTTTGACGAGGGAAAGACACGTCAAATTGACGTAAATTTTTTACAGTGTACAGTTAATAACGGACGTACAACCTCGTTTTTTTTCAGGGGAGATAGTCGTTTTAGTGCCTTCCTCTCCTGAGCTGCGAGAACAGCCGTGTTAGGGGGTTAGGGGAAGTTGAAAGGTGGAGAGGATAGGTGAGAGAGAGAGTGAGATAAAGGGGAAAGCGCGAAATGTACGTCGGCCTCTAGAAAAAAAGGAAGCATATACCACTTAAAAGAACTCAAAGAACTTGGGAAAAAAAAAACGCATAGAACTCGACGGAAACGTAATTCTTTTCATTTATATTGCCCAAGTTGGATATGTATTGTTCTTCATCTTCGCGTGCCATCAGTTCTTGCTCAATATAATGTTATCTCGAATACACCACCCACTATTAATTAAAAGAAAACGCAGTGTACATTCAACGTGCACAAGGCAGATAGCAATTACGCATTTACCGTCTTTACATTTTTTTTTTATTTACAGCCCTACAATTAGAACGACACTGGCCTTTTGCTAACCCAAAATTAGTGCCACATTCATTGTAGATTTATGACTGAAATGTCCAGCCCTTGCACAACCCGAGGAATTGGTCGTTAAGATCAACGATCTTGAGCGTATTAAGATCAGCGATATTTACTCGTTCTTTAAGCTGCTGTCGTCTGTGCACCAAATCAACTCTTCTTCTACGATACACTAGCAGAACAAAAGGGCGTATTCCTATATCCTTTGGCCCACATAACAACACATAACTTCAGTTCGACGTAAAGCGCGCTGACGTCGAGCCGACGGTGCCAACTTTCACGACCGGCTTGAGAGCGGAGTGGTACAACTTATTAAAATAGCTAATGTACGTGTTACTGACCACAAAAGAGTGATCGGGGTTTTCTTGGTCATACTGTAAAACCTCAGTGTTTTTTCTTTTCTTTTTTGTAAACTTTGATACGTAGTTTTGCTGTTTAAAGAGGTGCATATCACCGTTCTCAAGCCCCTCGTAAACGTTGGGGCCGTCTGTTCGATGTCAGTTCGCTGTACGTCGAACTGAAGTTTTGAGGTGTCGTATATGGCACAAGGGGTCTAAGATTATACCCCTTTTTCTTAGAGTGTACGCCGCGGCGACGGCGCTTCGGACGCTCTTTCGGTCTGGGGAGAAAGCGCCATGCAATTCGGGCATTGCTACGTTAATTCGGTAGAAAAATGCCTCGTCGTCAAAAAGCCACGACTAGGGCTGCACCGTGATCGAGCTGGGAAAGGCGCCAGTCTTAACGTGTTTCCTGCCCACCCGATTCGTTCGAGGACGTGAATAGGTGCCTGCCGCAAAGAGGGAAAATTAGACGCAGTCGGACCACGATCGCTTCTTCGGGAATTAAACTTTGTGGTAAAATTCGCGGATACTAGTTGTCATATTTATTTGTATTGTCACAACATGGAGCCAGAAAAACCGTCAAGCGGCCTCGGGCACCCGGACCGCGTTCAGTAAGCGTCTACACGTTAAGCCCCGTTCACACTCTTGCGACCGAGTAAACCCGAGAGAAACCAGACCGGTTTTTAAGTCTTTTGCGATCTCTTAGGACCAGCTCCGCTGTAGCGCATCCGCTCCTAAGAAGTCGTAAGAGGATTGAAAACCTGTCTTGTCTCTCTCCGTCGTACTCGGTTGCAAGAGTATAAATGGGCCTTTAAGGAGGCTGTTTTCACGTTAAAGCGGCTGTATGCCCGTTCGAATGAAAGAAGTCCGTAGACCACGTTAAGCGTACTCGCCTATTACACGGTAGTTGCGTTACACAGCAATTGCAGGCCTCTAACCGCTCGACTAGGGCCACGGGGCTTATGGGCCGCATTTGTAGTATTACGAGCTGCGAAAAGATGACAAAAGCGTTGATCGTCTGCAAACGACTCCGCCTTTCCTGCCGCTTTCCTCCTTATCACGCAAAAACGCAGCGCATACGCACTTGCGATCAATCCTTGCAGAAGGTGCCCGCCATTAGATTGCAAACGCTCCCTATCGTTTGAGATGGACCCTCTCTTCCATCGCCTTTCAATAGCTTACCAACATAGGCAGCGCCGTCTCGCGGCGCACAGGGGCGTTACAGGAATTAGAAAACAGGACTTAGAAAACACGACGGTTTTGGGAAGCGCCTCCGACAGGCATAAAGTAAAAAGTAGAGGTTAACAAAACAAACTGATGCGTTATTTTTGTTTTTATCATCAGAAAAAAAAATTGACTGGTTGCCAAAATAAACGCATTTGAAATCAATCACCGCCCAATAATAGCGAGTGAAATGTGCTTGACTGTTTTAGTCCACGCGTCAGCGGGCTGTGTTTTATTTTTATTGCAGTGAATCGTTCTCACAAAAATATATGGTGTTCATTGTTTCCATTTTTGTTTAACAACCCACGATAGAAAATAGAGACGAGCGGACTGCGTTCACTTCGACTAATTGTCTGACAAGCCTCAATTGATGTCGAGCTCTACGTCACTCAATAGCTGGCTTTCTTTGCGGTCCAGGGTGTGGCAGCCTAGACATCATTCCCGGTGTGATTATTGCTGAACCATTTAAATTAATTCGCACGGCGCACAGACACGGCGTTGTGTTAAACTTTCGTCAACATTAGATGGAATACATACGACATCTGTTACAATTGTTAAACTGAACTTCCAAATTGTCTTCAATGTCTGTCTAAAGATCAAGAGAAACGTCAAGACTGAAAGACAAACGAAATGTTACGAATTAAAGATCAAGCGAAATGTTCCGACTAAAATATCAGGTGAAATGTTAGAAGCAAAATATTAAAGAAATTATCATCACTCACCTCCTAACAACGGGTAGATTATCAGTGTCTTAAGTCTCCTATAAAAGCGGCTCTGCCTAGCATATTGAATCAGCCTCAACGAGGGACCCGAAGAAGCAACAGATCTGCTCAGGTAAGCCAGACTTATTCTGACCACTAGTTTCTTTTTACACGTAAGGTTGTTGATGTTGAACCTTAGTGCCTCACAAACCAACAGTTTTATATTTAACTCAGATCTCTCATTCCGGTCGAACTCAAGAACTCAAGATGTATCCTACCCTGCTTGCGTTTGCTAGCCTCGTGGCCGCCATCGCCAGTGTTGGCTCTGAGACCTCGTCAAGCGGTAAACCTGTGGACGCATGGACGGTAAGAACGGGAAAAGGATTACTTGAGTGTAACAATGCTTGATTCTCATTCTTCCTACAGAGCCCACGCGTTTTCTTAAACTACACGTCTTGTAAGGTCCGAATGTTTGGAATATCGTTTTAGAGTTTTCAGTAGCCTCGCCGTTTACAGCATTTTGAGTTGAATTTAAAATTATCGTATTTAAAATTTGCGTTGTTTCATTTACCTTTCGCAATAAACCCGCTTTATACATTGAAATAACCGTTTAACTCTCTTCTGATATTCTCCTGCCTATACAAAGAAGGCGCAAGACCTGGGAATAGACCGATCTTACCAGACAGCTAAACTATACCACCGCTGCCGCAATGCATTGAGGGAACTTTAAGGCTGGTTCACACATTTGCGTCGACCGGGTTGCGCTGCCTTGCGTTGTGCAGCACAGCGCCTCCCCATTGCCTCGTCGGAAGGGTCGCCATAGCAGCAGCTCGACGCAAGTGGTTGCAATCGCAGACGGTTGGAAGGGAACGCAACTGTGTTAACGACCCTTTAAGGCCGATTCAGACACTTGTGTTTGAGTGCGTTCAACTGCGTTGTGTCGAGAACCGAAAGCGAGTGACCGGCACATCTGTGCTTCGTATGAAGCGTGGAATCCAATTCAAGGAATCACCTTGGCAGGTGATATAAGCAGCAGGGATGACCTGGTTTCTCACAGGCAACGCAGTCGAACGCAATCAAACGGAACTGTCTGAACCAGGTTTTAGTCTTCCTGCACTTGCTTTAACCTCGCTGGAGCTCTGCGTGGTTCGAGCACGAGACGGCACGAGCAATCGCACACACGGTCGTCTGCCTCCTGTAAACTAAAGTAATGTCGGCGTCACGTATGCGCCGCACGCTTAGTTATACCGGACTACTGCTGTGCGGTTGAGTCCGCTACCAATTGTTTTGTCTGATTATCCTACTAAGACGTGCCTGTAAAGCCGGGGCCACACTGCTCATGCATCATACAAAAGACAGTTTGCAAACACGAATCACCGCAATATCCGTAGTTCGCATGCAGCATGCCAGTTTCTCCTTGAACTCATTGCCATGCGGCTTTTGAAGCACGGATCTCGCTGTGGTTTGCGTTAGAATCTCGTGCCTAAGGCTTGAGCGAATGCTCGTGTCCAAGGCGTGAGCAGGGTTAGGCTCACGCGGTTGGGCACCGCGGAGGCATCACAGTGAAAAGGCAGAAAGCTTTCAAAGGGAAGGAGGAACGAAATATTTTGCTATTTTTTTTTTCGAATTTTCGTACCGAAAAGCAGGCTTTTGACTTTCTATCCTCTTTATTCTGGCCCACTAAAAGATAGGCAATTAGTAAGATTCCAATCTTAAAATATTTATCCTTTCCAAAATTCCTTTTATGGCCTTTTTAATGCCCTGAAATCACCGTGAAACCGTATTTCTATATTCTGCGGCCTATTCATAAAACGTGCGGGATCTGGGTATTGCTGTGCAGTTGAGTCTGCTATCAATTTTTTTTTCTCTGTGTATCCTTCTAAAATGTGTCTTTTATAGTATGCGATCTGTTCAAATATCTTATGGTGCCTGACAAACACGTACTGGCATTGGCGGAATTTCCCTTCTGGATAGAAACCGCGATGTTAAACGGTGTGCATTAATTTGTTCTGCGGAAAGCACCAGCCAAGTCTACTGGCTTTTTTCTCTTCTGATTAAGAACTTTGGCAGTTCTAAATCAGGCATATTTCGCTCGCGCCTACAACAGTGTCCAGCAAAGACCACGCTTTCAAAATGCATGTACAATTACCGTTCCAGTGTTGTGCCAAATACTTCTATTTAAAATAAGATACTAAATACCCATTTGAAAATGTATTTAGAGTAATACTTCAGTTACTTTTACTGCTAACTATCTTGAGTCGAGTTCAAAAACTTCGAAAAATTAATTGAATTACGTTCGAAGATACTGGCAACTAGGTTGCAAGCAGGTAATATAAGAATAAAAAAAGTCAAAAGGTGTGCTCTACTTGTACCTCACTGAATATCACATTCTCCTGTGAACTTTATTACTTCCAAAAAGCGACTTAGGTGCTGCAGTCAAAGTTTACTTTGAAATAATTCGGGATAGGCCACATAATAGGTAACAAAAGTTTTAGGAACAAAGGTGTTGTGCTTTTAATACGAGCGACTAGGTAAGACAGGACGTAAAAACCAACTGCTCCGTCTCGTGCTTCGATGTCCATTCGGGGTCACCAGAAGCGCTGGCGTAAACGCTGCTTCATTCGCACAATTCCTGGATGTGACTCGTGCGATAGATCGATGAGTCGACGCCGTAGTGAAGTAGGTGGAACCAATACTACTTCACCACGTAGTAAAAAGCCATCCACAGAGGAAAGCTCTTCTCGCAATTTGTAGTATGTTGATAGTACTTTATCACGTTGTTCCTCGTGACCCAATCCGGTGCGGATACACTGAATTACTCGAGGCAAATCAGGGTCTTGCCTGGTTTCCTTCCTGATTTCTTCTTGATCGATTGTGCATAAATTGCGTACCAGGCAAGTGAATTCTTTCTCGTTGTCACTACCCTCGCTGCTACCTGAAGGATTCGGAGCAGGCAGGCGTGACAGTGCGTCTGCTACGACATTCTCGTTTCCTTTCTGGTAATGTACATCGTAGTCATAAATGAGGAGTCGCGTAGCCCATCTGTCTATCCTCATTAATTGACGACCGGTTCCTTGTCTAGAAAGCAAAGTAACGAGAGCCTGATGATCCGTCTTGAGCGTGAAATGGCGCCCGAAGAGAAAAACGTGTCATTTCTCGCAGGCCCAAAGGCACGCCAATGCCTCTTTCTCCCCTGCAGAGTAGTTGCGTTGGGCGCTTGAAAGTGTTCGCGATGCGAACGACATCTTTCGAATTCCTTCCGGATGTACTTGCTGTAGAACCGCGCCTAATCCGTAATTAGATGCATCCGTTGTGACGACGGTGGGCAGCGCCACGTCGAAAACAGTCAGTGGGACACAGTCCCGTATGAGATCCTTGACAGCAGTGAATGCCTCATTGTGTGCCTTTTTCCATTAAAAAGGGACATTATTCCGCAGGAGCGCGTGCAGAGGCTCCACGATGGTCGCAAAGTTCGGTACGAACTTGAGGTAATATGTGAGCAGGCGGAGTAACGATCGTAGTGATGTTACGTCTGTAGAGGGTGAAGCCTGCATGATAGCCTCAATATTATCTTGGCATGGCTTGATTCCCTGCGGTGTCAGCTGGTGTCCTAGGTATTGAAACTGCTGGACTGCAAAAAAACATTTCTGCTGGTTTAGTTTCAAGCCTGCCTCTTGAAGGCATGAAGAACCTGCCTCAGGCGGGCATCATTCTCTTCTCTTCTGTGTCCGAAAATAAGTACATCATTCAGGTGGACGATGCTACCTGGAGTACCTCGGAGTATGCAGTCCATCATTTTTTGAAAGGCAGGGGCGGTGGATGCCAGCCTGAAACATACTCTGGTGAACCTGAAGAGACCTTCATGCGTCACAAATGCCGTTAGGTCTCTGCTTTCCTCTGCCAAGTCCAACTGGTGATACGCCGACGAGAGGTCTAGCTTGCTGAAGACGCAGGCACCAGAAAGCTGATGAAAAAGTTCGTCGGGGCACGGTAGACGGTGGGAATCGAAAACTATTGCAGTGTTCGGCTTGCGTAGATCTACACAGAGACGGATCTCCCCATTCGTCTTGCGGGCCACCACGATGGGAGACACCCACTCCGAAGCATCGATGCGCTCGATAACCCCGGAGCGTTCCAGCTTCGCCAGTTCCTCCGAAACTTTCTCGCGCACTGCGAAAGGTAGTCTTCGTAGCTTTTGTTGGAATGGAGTGGCGGAATCTTTTCGTCTTTACCTTATGTACAAATTCTTTCGCATGACCTAATCCCTCGGAGAACAGCTGGGGGAAGTCTTGTGCGATCTCTGGAAGGTTTCTCGCGGAAACCGTTGCCACCTGTCCACCGTTGGGAGGAGCAAAGTTTAGTTGAATGTCCAACGCACGTAAGGCGTTCAGGCACATGACAGCCGCGCCTGTTCGTACGCATGGAATGTGCAGGTGCCACGTCTTTGCGCGAACTGCACGGGTGCGTCGAATTTTCCCAGAACGGGAATGTCTTTTCCGGAGTAGTCCAGGAGTGTTGTATTTGAACGTTCCAACTTGTAAGAGTGGAAGTGTCTTCGGTAGACGTCTTCCGGCAGGATTGAAACAGACGAACCCGTGTCGACTAAAAGTTTGGCGGGAACATGTGACAGATAAATCTCGCACGCAACCAATTGTTTGGTAAAGCTGGTAGTGAGCACCTGGACTTGGTCGTGCGCTTGTTCCACTCTTCGTACATGGGATGTTGCTTGTGAAACTCCCTGCTTGCAAACGGAGGCGAAGTGTCCCTTCTTGTTGCATTTTCTGCCAGCTTCGTTCTTTGCCGGGCACTTAGGGTGGGCCGCCATGTGGTGCGGTGACCCACAACTGTAACAAGTGCCGGACGACTTGCTGAGACTTGCCCTAGAATTCTCGGCTTTTATTTTCGCCACCTGCGAACTGGATTCCTCTTCCGTCAAGAACTTGGCTTCCTTCATCTCTTGCTCAACTTTAGAGGCGATGGCAATAATAGCAGATTCCAGGGAAAGCTCGAACTCTAGGAGGAGGCGGTTTCTAACTTCGGAATGGACCGTTTTTTCGACTAGCTGATCACAGATCGTTTCATCTGTCATTACTCCGAATTGGCAGTTGGTGGCAAGGCCCCCGAGGGCTGTAACGTACGCTTGCGCTGTCTCACCGGGCATCTGAGCACGGGACTGAAAAACAAATCTTTCGGCCGTCTTGTTGATGGCCGGCATGAAAATTTTCGCAACTTCCTGACCTCTGCTTCGTAGGCTGTGGTAACGGGCGTTGCAGGAGTGCCCGATTCCGAAGGAGCAGCTGAGGTACTTGGTGTTGTACCGCGGTTCGTTGGGGATATGTCTGGAAGGTCAGGTAGCTTGCGATAGG